AATAAATTCAAAACATGACAGTAACCTAACCTCAAAATTCGAAAGCAACTAAAGTTTCTTAGTACTTACAATATTCTTCCTCGTACTTTTCTTTGTATTTAAAAACGATTGCTTTATTCCTCAAAATCAAATCAGAAAAGTTTTATATATTAAAACATCCTCTCCTTTTCGCGAAAACAGCACTTTAAAGTATTACGACGCATGTCTACACAGGTCGTTTGTAGCTAGTTCTTGAATAATTTTACTGCAGCACAATGCATAATAACCACAGTAAAAACAAATAATTAAAGGCACTTTTACTCAATTGAGATATTATTTAATTTAATGATATTATAGTCAATTTCCGAAAAATCTACTAGAAACGACAGATACTCATGTCAAAATAAACTCTGCGCTCTTATTGGCTGTTAAGATTCAGTAAATACATTAGCCAATCAGAAACGGCATACAAATACAAAAAGATGAATGAAATCATGAATGAATAGCGCCCATGTTGTCTAGAGTATAACCATGCGTACTACGTATAGTTCAATGACCTCAAGTTGTAATTTTATAAGCCTCTATTTAAAGCGACTTTTGGGCGTTATTATGAATGAAAGTACTTTAAACTCTTGGTCCTATTTATTTACAATATTATCTAGTACTAGAATAGCAACAGAAATCGTATTTATCAGTAAATGAATACCTGATAACGGTTTGAGTAACAATGAACTCTTATTAACGTGGAATATAGTTCGAAATTAGTTTATTGATAGATGATGAAATCATAAAGTGATATAAAATGGTTTTCAAGTACGTAAGATAAAAATATTTATTTAAAAAAGGACAAAATGCACGTAATACAAAACATTAAATTATAAAACTGACAGTTTTATATCGTTAACGGAGTTTAGTTCAAAATTTTAAAGAAATATTCTAATTCAAGCGCAGTATCTTCCTTCAAATCGGTGCAATGTACAGCGTTTTTGTACTTATCAACACCAAACATTGCTCTTAACGAATTCGGTCTTATTTGTTTAGCAATATCTGAGTCGGTTGGTCCGCAAAATTTTCGGAATTCCCCGTGAACATCCAAGTCATCTTCTTTGCCAGCAATTTCTAAAGCTATACAAGGCCCGTCGAGAAAACTAGACAGTAGCGCGTGAAAATCGGCTACGACCCCTTTGTAAACCTCCAAAAACTCATCGGCATTAGCGTTACTTAGATAGAACATTTGCATGGCAGTCACTTTAAACTTTGGGTTGTTCGTAATCGCCGAAATGATAAAACCGACCTTTTTTTCATCTACCGCGTGTGGCTTTATCACACAGCAAGTACAATTGGTTATTTGAGCAGTCGAAGGGGGTGGCTGTTGACCAAGACCCTGAGGGAAAAAGAAACATGCTTCCCTTACGGCTAACTCGTAACTATCTGACGCATGAAATCCGTTGGAAGCACGTTCCATACCATACCTGAATACGAATTATAAAACATACAGAATGATGTTGACACTTATGCCCCAACTTACATACTTACTTAATCATTTAAACGATTTATTAGTAAAATATTGTTAAAGGGTAGCAACTAAACAAGGCCCATTTTTGACGTTCAAAAATTAGGAGCGCTTTTTTTAAAACGCGAATAAAACTTCCTGCCGAAGACCAAGAATGGTCCTTGTTTACCCAACTCTTTTGTTTGTTTCTTACCGTGCTCGTAGAGTCTCTGGATGTGTTTTCCTGGCTTCAATGGGATCGGTAGGTCCTAGCACATCCTTCCACCGTTGCAGAGCATTATCACCAACTATTTCTAACGCTACAATCGGCCCAGAAACCAAATGTTCGACCATGAAGGGTAAAAACGAATCTCCCTTTTTCGATTCATAAAAACTAAGGGCGTCCTTTCTCGAAACGTTACACATTTTTAACCGAATTATTTCGAATTGTCTCTGCTCGATCTCAGTCACGACTTGTCCCAGTTTTTGGACTGCTGTGGGCTTCAATATGGCAAACGTATGCTCCTTCGCCTTGCCTATTATTTTTTTCGTTCTTCCATCTGCATAGTCTGTAATTGTTATCTGTCTTCCGTAGATTCGGATAGTATTTCCGACATACATTTTCTCGAGAGTAACTCCTTCAAAAGGTGCCCTTCTAAGGTATACTCTGTTTAATTCCCTATCGAACAGTTCAATTGTACTGTCGCTCGGGAAGAAAAGGATAAGAAACTTTTTGTGAAGGGACGAATCGTAGTCGTACCATTCCCCTAGGAATGAGAATTTGTCGCTGTAATCCCAATCTTCGCCTTTCGCCATTATCCTGAAAAAAAAAACGACAAAGTTCTGACAAGTGTAATGACGTTTTAGATAAACGTATTTAACCAGGCTTTTAAATTTTCTCTTTTTGATTAGTTGTAGTTTTGTGAATACAAATGAAAATTAAAATCATTACCTACAAAATTTACATACTTAAATAAAAACACATATTTTTATTGAAATTATAAGATATTATTCTATAAAATGATATTCTACTTGCTTGCCTAAGCCTGTTACTTTTTGCCTTATCCGAATGTTTCGAATTAAAAAAGGACTAACTAGTATGCTAAATTACCTATAAATAAAGTTGGTAAATAAAAAACGAACCAATAAAATAGTTTTTGACGGATAGCAATTAATTAGCGAAATCGAGAACTGCAAAACTTCTATTACTTATTATAGATACTATTCGCCGTGACTTCAAACAACTGCCATATGCTGATAATTATTACTACCCCTAAAACGCCCTAACAACTCGACAATAAAATTGTTACACCATACATAGGTACATTTTATCGACTTCAACGCCAGTCAACCGTTCCAACATTTACATTCAAAACTTTCTAGAGGCACCTGGGATTGAAAATGGCCCAGACTTACCTCCCTACGACGTAAAAATTTTGGGAATTGAAATCTGGGACTAAACATTTAGAAGAGTAAATACATTTTGCGAAATATTACAGATAACGCAAAAATTTTTTTATCAGCATCAGGAGTTTAGCCGAGCCTTCTTGAATGGGACAATTTATTTCAGTCCTTAGTAGATTCCACGCTCTTATTATACTATTTTTAATTACAAGAAGAAGGCGAAAATCTAATTTGTTGATTCCACAATTTATTATAAGCACAAACAATAATTATCCCATAATTTAAAATGTAAAATAAAACAAGCTTAAAATAAAAATATTTTTTGATTTTTAATTTTATTTCAATAATAATAATGCCAATATAACATTTTAATTACAATTAGTAAAAACAGAGTTTATTAAAATAAAATATTCACGTTTAGTTACAGAAGGCTATACAATTATATTGTTAATTTTAAATTAAAATTAAAAAGAGAATATCTATCAAATCACATTTTGAATGCAATGAGTGCATGACATCTGGGTGATATGTAATTGTCAGCAATTTTATAGCAAAAACATTGCAGACCTTTTTCTTGAAGGAACTGTACTCTGTCTAAAAGCACCAGGTTTTCACATATTGTTTGTATATGCGTTTGAAATGTCGACAGGAATTCTAAGACATCACACTGCTCTTCATATTCGGACCACTTTTCCAAAAATTTCTTCTTTAAAAGTGATTCATCCATGGGTCTTTCCCTATCATCGACATTTCCCTTGTAAATTACCTTGTGAGTGTCACCAATATTGCTAACATATTTCTCTATTAAATTCGCCGCCTCGTAATCAGTATGTTTACCCGATTTTCTTTTCAATCGTTGTACTGTACAATTTTCTATAAAAATATACAAATTACACATTCAGTTTCTGAGGGGTCGTCAATCTTAATCAGTCAATTTACATTTTTATTAATACCATCATTAAGTACTTTATATTATTTACCATTCAAATTTAATCTAAATTCTGAAAATTTAACTAAAAATCAATATCTAAATTGTGTATTTAACAATGTTTTTATTTTGAAAGGGAAGTTTATTTCTCGCATAGAGCACCCCTGACTGATTTACCCTCAAAAATAGACGAATTCATTAAGAAATTTTATAATAAGGAATGCACATAAATTACAGTAATGATCAGCGATGTTCTTAATCATACTCTAATTTCTTAAAAAAACAAATAAAAGAAATAAATGACAACCATTATTAGGACTCCAATTTACCTTCCTTGGCAATAAATTGTAATATCGCCCTTAGCATCCAAGATTTCGACTGCTTTTGTCTTTCGGCCAATGGTAAACTTTTAAATTTTTCGATGGTTTGTTGACAGGCCAGTCGTAAAAAAGGCACTTTTAAAAACTCTTCTCCGTTGTACAATGTACCCAACATTTTGAGAACGTTGCTCACAGGAAAATTAAAAAATTCTCCGTTCGTTTTTTGTTTTAATCGATGATAACAGCAGGGCATTATTGCCAAAACACCAAAGTAACTCATCTTAGAAAAAATATCCAACATAGTTACACTCAAATCGGCACAAGCGTGTAAACCCACGACGCACACTCTTGGTTTCTGTTTAATTTCGTCGGCGAAATATTCTTTTAAAAGTTTCTCTATGACGTTTAATGAATTTTCGGTAATGAAATGATTTATAAACCTAACTGAACCCAAAGACGAAGGACAGTTCTCCTTCTGATATTTACTTGCAGAAATAACATATTCCGATTTGGCTTCAATAGCTAAAATTTTATATTTGAAATTTTCATAAAGAAGAAAACTTATGTAACCCTTAAAAGAATAAGGAAATAAATTAATTTAGTTAATTACACGACAACATTTTAGCATACCAATCCAGCTCCGACATCAATTATAATATCTATATCATTCTTTCGACATAAATCGTGAACCACGTTTGCTAAACGTTCTATTTCGTGCCTTTTCTTTTCATTTCGAACTTTATTTAACAGTTTGTAACTGTTATCAGTCAAATTACAATCGATATGGTACAAATTCTGCTGCACAGTTAGATTTACTATTTTTAGTATGAAATCTTTAAATTCCACGGGGTCTACAATCTAA